CCTGGCCCAGCCGCTCCATGCAGACGGTGCCCCCCGAGGACCTGCCTCGCCCCCGGCGCGGGCTTGCGGGCTGGGCCCCGTGCCGCCCGTGCTTGCGGGCTGGGCCCCGTCCCCAGGCACTGCGGGGGGGGAGAAAGTGAAGGGGTCTAGGTTGCCTGGCTCAGCCACTCCATGCAGACGGTGCCCCCGAGGACCTGCCTCGCCCCAGCGCGTGCTTGCGGGCTGGGCCCCGTGCCGCCCGTGCTTGCGGGCTAGGCCCCGTGCCGCCCGTGGCCTGACTCGCCTCCTGCCCCAGGTATCGAGGAGCTGTGCGCCAAGCGGGAGGAGCTGAGCCAGCAGATCCAGCAGGAGGAGGAGGAGAAGAGCAAGCTGCAAAACGACATCCGGCTCCTGACGGAGAAGCTGGCCCGCGTCAACGAGAGCCTGGCTCGCAAGATGGCCACCCGCAACGAGTTTGAGAAAACCATCGCCGAGACCGAGGCTGCCTACACGAAGGTATCTGGCCTCTGGAGGCTGGGCCGTTGGATGTCTCCAAGGCAGCCCCTTACGCTCTGGGGGCTTGTGTGTTACTGCGAAAGCACAGCGGCAGGGCCTCTCTCTGCCGTTAGTAAGGCCTCACGTCTAGATCAAGCCCTAAACTGTAATCGAGAACCAGGGGAAAGCAGGGCTTTGTGCTGTGGCTGAACCAGAACTAGGTTCAAATCATTCCTTGGCCAAACCCCCACTGTCGCCTACAAACAGCTCTACGCAAGTAAGTTAAGTTTACTGCCACACGCCAGGGCCTTCCTTCTGGGCATGGCACTTCCCACCTTGGGAAACGTTCCAGCTAAGGCCTCTCCACAACTCTCCCAAAAGAGGGTTACCGCTGCCAGGAAAACAAATCACAATTTTGCAAAAAACAGGCACTGCACAGTTTGAACATGGGACCTTCAGACCCATACCACTGCCCTCTGCCACTTGACTGCGTTGCAGGGGAACTGGGATTCCTGCACTCTCCTCCTGGTTCTGGAAAGGCAGTGTGGCCAGTTGGTTAGAATAACAGCAACAGACTGGATAAGCAGGCTTGGCATGTTCATTTCAGAAGGCAGATTGGGTGAGACTTGGGGGTTTGAGGTTGGGGTTGTGTTTCCAGTTCCACCTGAAGTGCAGCCTCAGATTGCTTTCTTTGAGAGCCTTGTGCGTTCCCACTATGGGATGGAATTCCCCAGTGATGAGCAGCTGGAACCCTCCTGAAAGCTGTATCCCACCTCCCAGGGAATGCACCCTAGCTGCTTCCACTCCTTCACCATCACCACAGAGAGTAGAAGCAACCCTCTGCCATGGCTGTTGCTTTTCTAACCCCATTAGGCTAGTTTGCCAAAAGTGTACGGACATGTAACTTTAGTTTGGATCTTAGGTAAATAGTATGGTTTTATAGTGTCTCCGAAAAGGGGTATTTCCCCAACTTTTTCATGTTCGAGCCTCCAGGCTTGCCCCATCATTAGGACTATGTCTGGACTGGACCCCCAAAAGGTGTTTGTCAGAGGACATGCCTACCATGTAGCACCCTCTCCTGACCGGTTGGCACTGCAGGCATTCCCTGCCTCAGTTGCTCTTCTCTCAGGGCCCTTAAGAACTCCACAAAGTCCAAGAGAGTGTGAGATATGAGGCACAGGTGTTCTTTATCCAATTAACTGTCTCTTTCCCTTTAAACGAGCTCCTCAGGGGTAGCCTGGATTCAGACTTCCCTTAAAGGAGCCAGCAACTCTGTGCAGTGTTATAACAGATGTGCATTGTGCCTGCGGATCTCCCAAGTTGGATGCCTGTGTCCAGTGTTTAATTTCTGTCTTGTAAAACTCATTCCCTGGCCCAGTGTGCCACCCTTACGGCTTTTATCTCCCCACCAGGACTGCTGGCTCTGGCACACCTCATGGGAGAGGCCCTGATGGCTGTTGAACCTCTGGAGGGTCAGAGTTCTGTGCACCACTGGGAACAACCTTCCTCTGCACTGAAACGTGCAGCAAGGGGGGCCAAGCCATCCATTCCAGCCATGGCCTCAGCACTCAAGTGCTGGGTCTGGAATATCGGAAACCCCTCCATGTGATGTAAACAAAAATCAGCACAACACCACACCACATGTGGACAGCCTGACCAGTCTGAATTCATCTAGCTTCAGCAGCTAACATCAGACTGGGATATGGCATACCTTTTTTACAGTGAGGGACATTAACCTTTGGAACAATTTACCAGGCTGACAGAGGACCTTTCAGAGATTCCAAGGCCAGAAGAGATCATTGTGATCATCTCGTTTGACCTCCTGTCTAACACAGGACAGAGACCTGCCCCAGTCTTCCCTACAGCAGAGCTTTTAGAAAAACATTGTCTTGATTTATAAATTGTCAGTGATGGAGAATCCACCACAACCTTTGGGAAACTGTTCTGGTGGTTAATTACTCTCATTGTAAAAAAATTAGACTTTATTTCCAGTCTGAATTTGTCTAGTTTCAACTTCCAGGCACTGGATCATCTTAGACCTTTCTCTGCTAGATGGAAGAGCCTCTCATCAATTATTTGTACCCCATGTAGGTACTTAAAGGCTGTAATCAAGTCACTCCTTAACTTTCTCTTTCTTAAGCTAAATAAATTCAACACCTTGAGTTCATCACTCTAAGGCAGGTTTCCCCATCCTTTAATCATCTCCTGGCTCTTCTCTGACCCCTCTCCAATGTATCAACATCCTTCTTAAATTGTGGACACCAGAACTGGACACAGGGTTCCAGCAGCAGTCGCACCAGTGCCAAATCCAGAGGTAAAATAACCTCTCGATTCCTGCTTGAGATTCCCCTCTTCGTGCATCCAGGGATCGCATTTGCCCTTTTGGCCACTGCATCGCACTAAGATGTTCAGCTGATTATCCACCACAACCCCCAAAGCTTTTTCAGAGTCACTGCTTCCCAGGATAGAGTTCCCCATCTTGTAAGTATGGCTGACATGCTTTGTTCCTAGATATATACATTTACATTTAGCTGTATTAAAATGCATATTATTTGCGTGTGCCCCACTTACCAAACAGTCCAGACCTGTGCCAGGTGACCTTTCCTCTTCGTTATATACCAGTTAGAGGAGGGTTCCATAGCTTGCACCTGGGAGTGCCATCCCATGAGTGTGAATGCACAAGGGCAACTCTTGAAGATCAACAGTTACTGTTAAGTAACCTCTGCCTCAGGGAAGAGAGATGGGGCTTTGGCCAGTAATAAAGGTTTTGAAGGGAACAGAAATAGCAACAGCATGCCATGGAAGAGGAGAATTGAATGTGCAGACTCCCGGCTCCAACCCCTGTGCACAGCCCCCTAGGGTACAGGGTATTATCCCTGTTTACCACCAGCGTTCTATGCATGGCCCACATTGCCTTGTCCATTCCTAGCAAAACCTGTGATTGTCTCTGGGCCTGGCACCGCTCCAGCTAAGGACTCTTACTCATTCAGTGCTTTGAACCCTCCTTATACTTAGGACAGCCTCATGGCTTCAGGGTGTGCTTGCTGCTGTCTCACACAAGGCAAAAGCTTAGGGAGGGGTAAGGTGCTGTGATCTCCCTAAGGAACACCTCAAGGCAGAGTTAAGGCTCTGCGGTTGTGTTGTGTGGGAAGTGTCACCTGAACTGCCTTTCCTACTGCTGCAGTGTTTGGTGTTTGCGTTTTGGGAACAGAAGTCTCCCATTCTGGAAGGGTGAGAGGCGCACAGGGCTGGGCTGAATACCAGCAGCTTTCACTCCAAGGGGAATGAAGCTTTGGGTGTGTCAATTACCAGCACTCTGCTACTGTCCTAGATACTCAAACATTGTAAAAGACCAGGCTTGAAAAACCTACTCAACAAGGGTGAGTGAGGCCCTTTTCTTTTCAAGTGTGTGGGCTGGGGTCAAGGGGCAGTGCCTGCAGAGAGCAGCTGAAGCAGATAGTTCTGCAGTGTGGGGGGACAGGCAGGGGAAGGTAAAATGGGGTTTAGCCTGGGCCACTGCTCTCCTCCCCACCTCCTGGATCCAGACCGCTCCCCAGGGCACTAGTACCCATGCAGCCTCCCCCTGTGAGAGAGACTGCAGGGGGAGCCAGCTCGAGAGTGAAGCCTCGGAAGCTGCAGGACAGGTTCAAGAAGGCACCTGCGTGATGATGTCATGGAAGTCCCACACTGGATTCCTTGCACTATGACTGAGTGACTTCTTCCTCCCCACTCCCCCCCGCCCTTGTCTTTCCCTTTCAGTTATTCCCCCTCATAACACTTAAAGGTTTAGAACAACAAAACCAAACCAAAAACCTGGGGGAACTAAGGTGCTATTTGCTGCCATCACATCACTTGTTGTGCTTGTGTATTCTGTCCCTTTCCCTACTGCTCTTCACGGCAGGGACTGTCTTACTCTACGGCTGTCTGGTGCCTAGCACAATGGGGCCCCTTCCCGGTGGCCTCCAGCTCCGACCAGACCGGAATAACCCTGAGGATGAATAACCGTGCCGTCTACTGCTGAGGAAGTTCAGCTTCCATTTTAAAAAGAGTTCTTCAGCACTATGCTTTAAACTAGCTCCCATGCCAGGGCTGGGTGCTGGCGTGTGCAGACAGATCGCTCCAGCTCCCCAAGGCAGCAGGATGAAAATGACTAGGTTCTGGTTAGTTTCGTGGCTAAGGTTTCTCACCCCCTGGGGAGTAGCGGAAATGTGAATAATTGGGGCCAATGAGAAAGCTGGAACACGGCTATTCACACAGAGGGCACCCAAAACCAGAGGGGGGTAAAGGGGTAGAGTCACAGCAGGCTTATAGCAAGGGCAGAGAAGGAAGATTGCTTCTTCCCTCCCCCCGAGAGCAGCCAGGAGTGGAAAAAGAGGGCTACTTCTGCCTTCCACCTGCTAGAGCAGGAACAGGCTCTTATTAGAGGTGACGAGTGGAGTCGGTCATGGGAGGGTTCCAGTAGGAATCCCAGCCCTCTCCTTAGCCACGGGCATTGGTGGGGGGCCGAGCGTCTCTGCATGGCTGTCAGGTAAGCCCTGAATGGGGCTGTATCATTAGTTGCTTTAGCTATTAATTGGTATCTAATTTCTATATATAAAGCAAACTGGGCATGGTATTTGGCTCCTGAGCATAATGAAAAGTGTTTCTGCCCCAGCCTTGCATGTCCTGAGCTCTGTGTGGTTAACCAGACCTCTAGAGCACAGTCTCACCCTGGTGAGCACCAGGGCTGCCTCCTCTGGTCTCCACTGGCTGGTATGACTTTCCGCTATCTTAGCCTCATCGCCTCGCTGTCTCCTTTTGTGTCATTGTCAAATCCCAGGCTGAAGCTGGCTGTCCTCTCCCAGCCCCTTCCTCAAAGGTTGAAGCTTGGAAAAATTCATGCATGAAAATGGAAATGTTGATAAACATTATCCCAAGAGAGTGAATTCTGGAACAATAGTTATTCCTATTTTAAGAATACACGTTGGTGAGACACTGGTAAAACTCCCATCCACATGGTGTAATTGGCTCTGAATTTCAGTAAGTAACTGACATTTGAGGACATTGGTGACAAAATACTTGGCAGATCTCTGCCAGCCCCAGCCCTGTGACTGTTGGACAGTTCTGAGGAGTCTGGACTATGCCCCACCTTCGCCCAAAGCTTCATTTCTGTGCAAACTGATGCTCCACATCACCCCTAAGTCTACTCAGCATTTTCTTGATGACCAAACAACAAAAAAGGCCATTTTCTGCAAACGCAGCTGATGTTCTGTTACACGTAATTGTTTTTAAAATAACTACCAGTGAGCCCTGTTACATCCTGTCAGTCCCGTGCGTTGTGGGCTGTCTGGGTCAAGGACGGTCTGCTTGGTGATTTGTCTGTACGGTAGCTAGCACAATAGGGCCGTGACCCCTGGCTGCAGTTCTGGACACTACCACAAATCAAATAATAAAGATCTACAGAAAATCTAGCTGCTTCTCAGGCAATTTGCGAACAGGAAAATGGCTAAATATATCGGAGCTGCTTGGTAGCAGTAGTTCAGCTGTAATGACCCCTCAGGCTAACAGTCACGGGGATAGGGTGCTTGTGGTGATCAGAGATATTTGTAATCTGTAGCCAGTCAAATCCAGTTTCTTATTCAAGGAGCTCTTGCAAAATGGAAATGACAAGTCACATCAGTTTGCACAGAAATTAAACTTTGGACCAGGGAGGGCATGGCCCAGGCTCTTCAGAACTGTCCAGCAGTCACAGGGCCACGGCTTGCGATGAGACAGCCTCAAAACTCAGTTACATATTGAAATCAAGACAGTTACAGTGGGGGTGGGGGGAAATCAGAGTTTTGTTTGTGCTCAGAAAAGTGCATTATTAAAATGAGGAATAAATGTTTAGAAATTTCATCACAATGGAAATGTAACACTTTTATGCATGATTTTTTTTTTTTAAACTAGGTCAGCCTATGAATAAGGAGAAGTCAGTCCTTCCTCAGGAAAAACCAAGGAGGAGGAAGTGCTCTCTGCCCACTAGCTCTGTGGTTAGAGCGCTCACAGTCTGTAGGGGGAACTGGGTTAAATCTCCATGCTGCCGGAATCAGACCAGGAACTTGAAGTTGGATCGCCCGTGTCCCAGAAGAGTGCCCTAGCCCCAGTGGGGCTCTGGCTCTCCTGTTGAAGCTGCTCCTGTTCATATGAAATACTTCAGTAGCCACTGGAGTGTAAGCTTGGATGTCTAACAAATACAGTTGAGTTCAACTCCAAGTTACTGATTGGATGCAGGACTCTCTGGGTTATGCTGCAAGTCAGATTGGATGATCAGGGTCACTTCTGGCCTTAACACCTATAAATGACAGTGTTTGCCAGTTACATTTTTAACTGAATTTAAAGAAATTGCCTTTGTTAATATTGCTAGATGCTAAGGCCCGAAAGGACAGTTGTGACCATCTAGTCTGACCTCCTGCATAACACAGCCAGAGAACGTTCATCCAGTGGTGCCTGCCTTGAGCCTGGAACGTGGGTCTGACCTAGAGCATGTCTCTTAGGAAGAGACACCCAGGCTTGAGTTAAAGGCTCAGAATGCTGGAGACTCACTCACTCCCTTGGCAACTTGTTCAAAATCCGGCTCAGGCTAAGAGAAACGCTTAGTTTCCATAAAACGAAGTAACTTGTTTCCTGTCCTCCCAGATCCTGGAGAGTTCCCAGACGCTGCTCAATGTCCTGAAGAAGGAAGCTGGGAATCTGAGCAGAGCCACAGAACTGAAAAGTAGCATCACGAAGGAGAGCTGAACATTCGGACTCAAACGGTCTGGCAGTCACCCTAGGGAGTTGCCGCGCTTTGACCCTGGCCCACGCTGCCATTCTGATCTAGGGGCTTGGAGTGGAAGCAATGTGAAATAAAGTCTTTCTTTTGCAAATGTAAGTGTTCATTTCAGAACGGCCTCAGTGCCAGGTGGGAATCCATTCCACTTCAAGCCACATCCAGCAAAACTCAGGATGGGTGTGTAACAAGTGCCAGTAAAGGGGGCCATGATGCTGGGGGAGTGCAATTCTGCCTAGAAGCAGCAGCCTCGGGCAGTAGTGTGACTTGGGATGGTAGCACTTTCCCCTTCAGTTGCTCCTGGGGAGATTCTGCAGGACTGTGCACCTGCCGAAAACCCTGCCGCCCCGCAGAAGTCCTGTGCTTCCCTGCAGAAAATGGGGATGGACGTGGGGATGACCATGGGTGCAGTTTCAGGGGAGATTGCCCCCCCCAAACCCGAGGCAAGGCCCAGGGTTACAGGATACTGCCCCCCCCATATTTTTGCAAGTGCAGAGCTGCCCAGCTGAAGGCAGCTGCCTCTAGGCTCTGCTGAATCTGCAGCTGAACACCACCTGCTGGGTCCTACTGCCAGTCGGGTTCCCCTTCTGTGTGCTGGGAGCCGTCCTGCCCTGGGGAAGAGGCAGTACCGTAGGGAAGGAAGGGGGTGGAATAGAGTGGGAGGGGAGGGGGGGGGGAAATCGCAGGGGGAAGTGGTAGCCCAGCATGCAGTGACCCCTCAGCAGCAGCTGGGGCTTCCCTTTTAAGCAGGCCCATTGAACCCTCACCCTGACAAGCCCCACACACCTGGACCCCCAACCAGCTGCACCCCCAGCCACCCCATCAAGCCCCACTGAGCCCCAGCCACCTTCTGGATCCCCTGCAGAGTCCCATTGCACCCAGATCCCCACTGAGCTGCCAGAATGCAGATTGCCCCCCACAGAAACCTGCTGGGCTGAGCCTGCCACGGAGTGGCAGGGCCCCAGGGTGTTTCTAGGGCAGGGGCAGCCTCACTGCCAAGTCCCTGTAGCGGGGTAGGTGAGGGCTTCAGCGTGATCTCCCACCTCCATGCAGTCAGCGGTCTGTGCTCCCCAGTGCCACGCTGGAGCCACATGTATTTATTGACAGACAACATTTGCAGAATTTTAAAAGATGGCGCACGTCATTTTTAATTTTTTGGCACCGCATTCGCTCCGGAGCAAGCCAGCGGCTGGTTTGCTGGGGCAGGAGCAGTTTCCTCTGTGCAGAGGAGTGGGAAGCGTGCAGGCAGCAAGCTGGCACTCACAGGCAGAGGCAAGGTGGCATGTGCTCGGCCCAGGGAGGCGTGGAGCAACTGTGCCCAGCTGGCCGGGAGTGGAGAGCAGGGGCACAGTTTGTTCCCAGGGTGCAGCAGGAGGGGAGGGGCTAGCTGGGAGGTGGCAGCCGCAGAGCACACCCTGGAGCTGGGAGGTGTGTAACAAGGGGGTAGGGAGCAGCAACGCTCTGAGCTAGGGGGAGCTCTCAGGGGAGGCAGCACCTCCCCTCCTCCCCAGTCTAGACCTGCTGTTCTCAACGGGGGGTCTGCAGCCCCTAGCAGGACCCCACCGGGCTGAAATCCCCGAGCCCTGGCACCCCACACTGCAGTGCCAGGGCGGGGCAGTCCCACCCCCTGGCCAGGCCGGAGTCCCGCAGTGTGGGCAGCGGCTGCTCTGGCTGGTGTCATGGAGCAGGCAGCCACCGCCTTCCCCAGCTGCTGCTACTGCTCACGCAGCAGGTAAGAGCTGCCCAGGCAGGGGGACCCCACTCTGTGGCCGGCGGAGCCCTTGGGGCCGTCCTGACACACAGCCCTTAGCTACCTCCTCCCTGCACCCTGAGTTACCCCCGTCCACACACAGCCCCTAGCGACCCCCTCCCTGCACCCTGAGCTACCCCCGTCCGCACACAGCCCCTAGCTACCCCCTCCCTGCACCCTGAGCTACCCCCGTCCGCACACAGCCCCTAGCT